CATCATGCGCCCAATTTATCTGGGACGGCGAAGCGGTTTAATGTAGGCAGTCCGCTTAATGGATGACACGCGGCGGCGCACAGGTTCACCTCGAGATGCAGGAGTGCCTAGAATGTCTGAAGCAGCGCGAGGTGCGGTAAAGAGGAGACGACTCAGGGGGCTTCCCCCCTAAAGAGACATATTCTTGCTCTCCAACTGCATACGCTTCAGCTTGGCCTCGTGAAGCATGCGTTCCTTCTGTATGAGATGAGAGGACTCCTCCAGGAGGTTAAGGATCTGATGAATCTGTGATGACCAGTTGTTGAGCAACACTTCAGGGTTTTTCTTCTGACCGAATTTAATGATTCCGTGGAGTCTGTCTATTTTGGCATTCAATATCTTGTTAGAGACCAATTCGGATAGGAGGTTTTCTGAGTCTTCCACAGATGCGTTGAGGAGTTGGGATAAGCGAAGTAGCGATATCTGGCAGTAGCAGTTTGATATGACGTGGATGTTGTGGTGCATGACTTTCTTCTTAAAGAGGTTCCATCTGTTCTGACCCCCAACAAATTTCGAGTCGTCGAAGATGTAAAAGTGAAGGAGTTCCTCTTCGTAGGGAAGGGGCCACTGGATCAGATCCATGTTAATAAAGTCTTCGACGATATTTTGGAAGACGGGGATTTCTTTTAACTTCTTTTTTTCCGTTTTCAGTAAGTTGGGTAATTTTGTTTGTTGCTCTTCAAATGGGGAGAGTGCTAAGAAGATGATGTAGCATTTTAATTCTTCTACCCATAAATTTGCATCTGCCAAAACGGGTTCTGTGTTGAATCGCTCCTCGTAACATTTGGCTACCTCGTCATACGCCTCCTCATTAATATGATACTCTATCATGTACATGAAGTATTTTAATTTCAAATCGGCAAATTCGGGAGCTTTTAACAGCGCGGGGTTTATCTTGCGACTGATTACGTGGCACCGAATGAAGTCCTTCCTTAGCAGGACTAACCTCATCTGCTCCAGGATGTATTCTGTCTTGTCCCTTTTATCCATCGATATGAATGTCTCCACTTGGACGTCCTGCAAAATGTTGGCTGCTTCTTCTATGTCTCCGTCGTCCTCTTTCATTTTGGATAGCACCCTCACTATTTCTGAGCGCTCCACCTCGACGAAGATTTTTCCCTCGCTGATCGTGCATAGGGTATTAATCAGGTTCAGCTTATCTGCTTTGCTCTCCACCTCCGGGATCCATAACTTGCAAAGGTTTATCATATCGATGATGGTTTTTTTGAGCTGTCCTCTCTTCTTATTAAAAAACACCAGATACTCATTAATCCTTTTGTAGTCACCCACTAGCTTGTACTGGTTTAGGATAAATCGGACAATTTTGCTCGTGGAGTTTCCGTCGTACGCTTGTCTGCACTTCTTCTCCAAGGCGATAAGCTTCTCCATGGCCAGATCGCCGTCGCCCACCTGTGGGGAGGCATGGAAGCGGGGAAGTGTTGAAGCGATAACGCCGTGGTGACGGGCGCGTCGTAGAGCCCCCTTTTTCCGTGCCGCTTTCCTACCTTGAAGAGATTCTCCGCCTCCGCCAGCAGCTCGTCTGTCTCTGCGCTGAAGTCTTGCGCGATCCTGGGGTCCGTCAGCAGGCTGTCATGACAGCCGATGATCTTCGCCGCGTTGTCTTCCATGGGGCTTATCTTCCAGGATTCCTCAGGTGGCTGTGGTGGGACGGGTGCGCAGCAGTGGGGTGATGTGCGAACAAGGTTAAACGGATGGCGGTAAGAAGAGGATCACAATTGGAGGGTGTGTATAAAATGAGGCTATGCCGCTTGGCGTTAGCCAGGCTAGAATTTCTGCCTGGGTACTTGAGGCGGAGGGGAGGTCCCTATCAACACTTACCTGCCACAGGCACGCTTTAACGTAGTGGTGAAGAATTGCACCCCAAAAAGGGGGATTTAAAGGAGGAGAGTCAGAAGGCGGAAAAGGCAAGGGGGCAAACCTCTCTCCTTTTTAGCGACTTGCTAAAGGGAGCGTGGGATTGTTATTATGGTTACTATGCTTAGTGTGGTTAGGATGCCCAGAATTGCGCGATGGGGTAATCACTTCGCATCGGCTTTGGCTGCACTTGGTCATCCGATTGTTCGGGTTTACGCTGCTATTTCCCCGCATGTTGTTAGCTACCTGGGAGTTTTTTTTTTTTTTTTTTTTCCTTCCTTTTGGTTAGCAGATCCTTTGGGGAGAATTAAAAATGTTTTAACGCCTCTCTGGGGAGGGCTCAGCACAGTGCGGAGGCGAGATGAACATGGTGGGAGGTGGTTCCGCAGGGTGCGAAGAAGCCTAAGGCAAGAGGGGCACATCATAAGTTGACTCTTGTGAGTCGTTGTGCATATGGGGAGTGCTAGGTGGGTAGAAAGAGACTGCCTAAAGCTGTGCGTCAATCTGTGAGGACTGGAGTGGAGCGGCCTTTGTTCTGGGACTTCGCCATCCAGTGTTGGTCCTAATTTGCTCCGTCAACGTTGCTCCTCCGCTGTTCTCCTTCGTGTTGTTATGTTGCATTTTTTTGTGTTTTCCGTTTTTTCCCTCCTCGGTGAGGGGCGAAGCAGGAAGGAGGAAGAAAATGGATGGGTACTAAGGCGGTGAGCCGGTAAAGCGGTGAAGTGTTGAAGGGGAAGTCAGCTTTGTTGTGGGTTACATCGTTCCTTGCCGCTTCGCCACCTTACCGCTTCCTCCCCCCGATGTGGCCCCTCCGCAGAGTGGACCCCTGCAGGGGTAGCCGAAGAACGTTTAGCAACACAGGAGAGTATTCCTCCAGCATGAGTCGTATCTTTAACAAGCTGAATGAGAAGCGGAATGGGAGGAGCCCCGAAGGAGGGGAAGAGAACCCTCTCGAGGGTAAGAAGTTGGGATGTAGTGGTGAAGGACTCCCCCCGGATCTTATTGGCAGACAATTTGAAGGAGCAATAAATAAGATGCAGATGAGTAGAATGCTGGGGCGGGACCTCTCTTATTGCATGAATATCATATCCAAGATGGAGTACTTTAGAGGACACCCTTTTTGGGTTAGGGCATGCAATCGGTTGGTGAAGGGACACATGCTGCACAGGATAAACAGAGAGAGTTACTTTATAGTAGCTAATTCGTTGAGTAAGGTGGATCTGCTCTTTGGTGGTGATGTCGAGCGGAGAAAGGAGCATAAATCGGAAGGACTGCTACAGTCGGTGGAACCTCATTTGTCTAGTTCGTCCCCTTTTTTGTTCATCTCTTTTGATGGCCATGTCACAGTGGAGAAGGGAAAGACAACTGATCGGAAGATATACCACCAGATATACAACGAAATAGCATTCCGATTTCTCCTCAATTTGGAGACCTTCAATTTGGATTGCATAAGCTGTGTATTAAACATGTTCGCTAAGCTGAATATGAGAGAGTACAATCTGCTGGGTTACTACTTCGCTGATTATGCTGTGTTGGCAGATTTGAGGAGGGTTCAGGAGGAGAGTACCAATCTGGGGGGGACTCAGTGGCAGGCGGATGGGGAGACACCGAAAGGAATGAATAAAGTTAGAAGCTGTTCTGCCGCTGACAAAAGGACAACTTTACTGCGTATAGACCGATATAGCGTCTCCAAATTGGTAATCATTCTGCACTCATTGGCCAAGTTGGGAGTGGTACACGTGGAGTTTCTCTCCATCTGCTGTTCCATTTTGAGAAAACATCTCATTGTGCTGAACAGCTTAGACCTCTGCAATGTGATGTATTCATTAGCCAAGTGGATCCCTCTATGGAGTGGGAAAAACGAGCACGATCGGATTCGTCTCCTTAGAAGAGTTAGAAGCGAAGCTTTCCGGTCTTATCTCGACACTGTAGTGAAGTGCACTTCGGTGTATGCACCCCGTTACGGGAGCGCAGCCTCTGTGCACAATACATATGACTCACTTTTACGTAACAGTGATGAGGTAAAACTGAATCAGTTGTTCAGGGAGATCGAAGCGGAGGTAGTTAAACTCGCGATGCAGATTGGCACCTTGGTGCAAAGGGAACATGTCCTGGGTAAGTTCACCGCTGTGCAAATTTCCTCTTTAACACTTTCGATGGGCAAGATGAAGCTGAATTTTTACGCCTCCTTCTACGCCATAAATCGGAAGGTTCACCACCTGTGGAAGGACTTCTCCCTGCACAGCATTGCCGATTTCCTCTTCGGAGTGAACGAGAAGAACATCTCGGATGAGCAGGTCACTCTGTTGTTGTGTTACCAGTTTGCGCGTCTGGTTTATGCCAAGTATTGCTCGTCTGAGTTAATAAAGAAGGACTCCTTTTCCCCAAATCAGCTGAACATGGTCAGGCAGAATAGGGAACATATTTACTTCTTCGGGACGACACAAAGGAGAGTGCATTTTTTAAACGCAAAGGATTGCTCTCTGGTGGTTCGCATTTTCCAATCCCTAGCCAAGTCAGAGGTGCTGGTTGGGGGGGGAGCGGCTCCCGTGGCTGACCCAGCGGGGGGGCGCTTTCCCTACGATGTGTGCGCGTGGGGTCAGGAGAGGGGGAAATTTAATGGCAGTTTTGGTGGCAGTTTTGGTGGCAGTTTTGGTGGCAGTTCGGGGGAAACTTCAAGTGACAGTTCGAGCGACAGTTCATGTGACCACTTGCGTGACAAGTTAATTTACCCCCTCCATGGGCACACTGGAGGGGCCCTCGCTGACTGCAGAGAAGGCGTGAGCAACCCCCCCTGGGGAAAACTCAACGAGTACCCAAATGGAGCGAATCCAACCTTTAGCTCTTTTGAAGAGAGTGCCCATCTGATCAAGTGGCACACCATGCGCACGCTGCACCACGTCATTTGGCAGCATTTGGACTTACTTCCCTTCGAGAGCATATCCCTGTTGTGTTACTTCTCTCTGCATGTTCCCGATTTTATGTTTCCCATGGAGAGGTATGCACAGTCGGATGCTTATCCCTGCAGGGAGTCTGCTCCCCACATGGGTAGAAGCCTCTTCGCAAGGTTGTTCTTCTACGTTTGGGAAGCTATGGATCCTAATTCGCTTAGTGAAGTTACGATGCGACAGATTCATATCTGCATTTTGAGCTTTTACCTGGACGTTATGCGGCTGGCGGCAACGCGGCATAGAGGAGACCCTCGTGGTGTCTTTCCCCCAGACGATATACCCAGTCTTGGCTGTGTGACCTTATCGGAGGGGACCAGCACGAAGAAGTCACTGGAGAAGAAGCCAGCTGCCAACTGCAGTGAGGACGTATTCCTTTCCTTCTCCATGGATAAGCTGCAGAAGTTGAACGCCTTTTTGGAGTTGGCTAGGGTGCGAAGCTGCCAACAGAAGGAGATTACCCTGACATCGAGTGAGGCTGCCTGGAGTGTGTGCAATGAGCCTATCCGCTGCGATGCCTTCTGTGCCCGGCCAAACTGTTACAAGGGCTTTCACCTCGTGTACCTCTTTCACCCCGTCTTCCGCCTCTACCGCGTTTACCGCTCATATGGCCTGTACCCCTCCTCTACCTTAGGAACACATGCCGAGGCGTACAACTGCCTGCGGAGAGTCGTCGAAGACCTGAGCGAATCAGGAAAAAGACGCGTGCTGCACAGCTCCGAGGTCATAGTTGGCCCGTTTGTACTGGTACCAGACAGGAGGGAGATAGAAAATGAAAATTAAGCGAAGGAATGGGAAAAACGGATTGGTCAGGGCCCTCGTGCTGGCCGTCCACCCAGGCACGTCCCACTTGAATTTCCCACCCCCTTTCCTTTTCCCCCTCGCAGGATTGTGTACTTGAACCGGAGGAGTGAGAGGGAGGAACACACCCCCTCCCAACATGACGCCGCTTTGGTATGATCCAAATGGGAAAGTAAAAGGGCCAGTTCGAAAATGAGTCAACCTTAGGAGGATGATCAAATGGGAACATGGAGGGGTCTCCTTCGTTGGATTAAATCACACCGTTACAGTCTTCCCAGTGTTGCCCAGGCAGAACTCCCGAAGAAGGCAGCCCTTCAGACGGTACAAAATGATTAGCAAAGAGGAGGTTAACATTTGATGAAAAACAGTTTGAAGTGGCTAGGTATTCTGTGCACGGCAAGAAAAAAAAAAAAAAAAAAAAAAAAAATCACCTTTGGAATAGCACACACAAAAGGGGGGGGAGGAGAAGCATCATAGAGTGACCAGTTATGGGGTGTCTCTTTTTTTTTTTTCATTTGTTGGCAGGAGGGCCCAAACAATCGTACCAAATGGAGCACTCCCTTCTGTAGTTAAAAAGTTAGGCAACAAGGACAAGGCGTATCAGCTAAGAATGGCATGCAAGTAGAGCCACATGTATGTACACATGTTTTTGTTTCACGTAGGATTATGCATGTCCCCCTTTTTATTTAATTTTTTATTTTTTTTGTCAAACCCCAGTGGGAAAGCATCTTCGCCTTCCCCGCTTCGGTCTCGTCCTGTGCCCCTCAGTGCAGATGATAACACTGGATCTGTTTAAAGCCCTTATGAATTCCTTTACGGTTTTCCGGTTGGCCCTTTGCTTCTCTCCGTCTTGATGGTCGTGACAGGGATGCTGAGTGGCGGGAGCGCAGAGGAGCCTCCGCTTGGGAGCCGTGTTCCTCGTTATGTTTTGTCTCTTCCGTCTGACACTCCGCAGGGGGGAAGCTCGCAGAGAAGGACGAGATGGAAGAGCCCTTTTAGTTGTGCTCTGTGTGCCGGTAACAGTCTTGCCAACGGTGCTGCGTGGACGCTTCGGAGAAATCCCTCTTTGTAATGATCCCCTGGAGGGACCCAATTGTGGACGGGTATGCTTAGCAGATTGGGGTGTACATCTAGAAAGGCTTGTTAACTTCCTCCTGGAAATATCTGCCCCTTTGGAGAGTGGGGCCCCTTTCCGCGGGGCAGATTCATCCTGTCGTTTGTTAGTGGTATTGCCGTGGTGGGCTTCTTCACCGGCTGTCTCTGCACTTTTACTAGGTTTGGTAAGTTGTTGCTTTCTTCGCTGTTTGGATAAAGGAATTGACTTCTTTCCTGGCGAGTTGCTTAATATGGACGCAATCACTGAGTGGCGTTCCATCATCTGACTTGTGTGCACAAGCGGCATGACGTCCAGTTTCGCTTGTACCTGGACGGGAACCATTTGGTCATCTCCACTGTGGGGGCTCCGAAATGTGTACTCGGTCTCTTCCTCTTGCTTGTGTAGAACGCACTTTTTGCTGCATCTAGCTACACTGGTGATCCTTCTGCTGTCTTCAATTTTGGGGAGTGTGCAAAAAGTTTTTTTTTTTTTTCTACTCTTCTGTGTCCCCTTGGGGTGGGGAAAAATCTGTGTCGTGTTTTGTAGTTTCTTCTTTTTCTTCTTCTTCGGTTTGTATTGACCAAGGGCTTTTCCTTTGGCTAGCTTTCCCCTGGGTAGCTCCCCCTTGTTTCTTATTTTCTGTTGATTTTGTGTTTTCTCCCTGGGGAAGGCTTTCGTAAGTGGGGTTGGATCACTGTGCCTTTTTTTTCTACCCATTTGAGGTGTTACAATACTTCTGCTGGTGCGGAGTGTGGGTTCACTTGCTACAGATTTGAGGCTGTTCCGTTTGCCCCCCCTCATGTTGCGTTGTCTCTTCGGAAGGCGTGTCTCCATGTTGGTAGGGTTGTTTTGTCCGGCGATTAACAGACCAATGTGGTCCACTCCCCCGGCAGCTATAGGAGTAGAAGGAACGGTCGCGGCAGGAGCACTGTTCTCTCCCCTCCGGTAACGCAGTAACTCATTTTTGCAGGCATCCAATTTTTTTGCCAGGCTGATCAACTGTATGTATTTTCTTTGAGTCATAAATGTAGGGGGGGCCATATTGGGGGCAGAAAAGGTATCCTCCTTTGTCCTTTTGGATCTTAAGAATGCTGCTTTTCGCGGGGGAACTCTCTTATTCGCTGTGGTGACTCGCTGGTTGGTAGTTGTGGCGTCTCTCTGCGTGAAGGGATAGGCCCAGATGGGGAGTTAAGTGGCCTGAACAAGGGAGAGGAGCGCCCCACAAAATTTCTTCGTGGAAACGGATGGGATGTGTATGTTCTGTTTCACCACCAGGTGATGATGACTAGGTTAAACCTGTGCATGTGCAAAAAGAAAGGGGAATGTAAGACAAACAGTTGGCCAGAATTGGATGTTGTGTTGGTAAAATAGGCATGCATGAAGAGAAGCGGAGTGGTAAGCGTCGTGAACTTTTCCTACAGAGTAGCGGTGCGTCAGACGAGCTAATTACTCAAATTCGTTGCGATCATTTGGGGTTTCCAATGGGGGTGTCATTCACCCGCAAGAGGGGAAATGTATCGTCCTGATTGGCCCCCCGTTGTGTCACTCCGCGCCGGAAAAAAAAAAAAAAACACACATGTGTGTGCATCAATACATATGCACAACTACGCGCAGAAAGGGAGAAGCTAACTGGTGTTTGTAGATCGATGTGCAGGATGGACGGCACATAAGAACAGATGAAAGAAAAAAAAAAAAGGGGAACAAATGCGGAAAGGAACATGCCTTAAGTCGCAACACATGCTGGACAACTGCGTCTTTCCACCCTGTGGCGTGGGAATATCATGTACGGGCTCATCAGGTGAATCTTCTGCGTGTGCTCAGGGGAAACACACAAAATTGCTACTTTCGAATGGCATCTCCCATGATATGATCCGATATGATATTATATATCTTCTTTTTTTTTTTTTTCACCAAATTCTACTTACTAAAATGTGTCTTCCATTCCCATGCAACTCGTGTCCGTTTTAGCAGCCCCCGCTCCGCACCATGGGGAGGAATCTCCCGAATGGTCCGTCCAATTTTTTCCTTACAACGTTGCTTCGACAGAGGGAGAGACAGCAGCTTATGCACATGACCCCGCCTTTTGCTAAAAGAAAAAGCGGCATCCTCTCTGTCACGCACATTCGTTCTGGTGAAGACGTACTGAATGGTGGGTGCCAAATTGGACCGATGGGTGGACCTTAAAAAAAAAAAAAAAAAAAAAAAAAAAAGCAAACTTCATGCCTTCACCTTGGGAGAGAGACATTATCCTTTTTGTTCAAACATTTGTGACGATACCCTGTGAGGGCAAATGACCAATCCGTCCTATTCACTAAAAATGGGGAGAAATGCACCGCAAGTCCCTTTGGACGCGGAGCGGAAAGGGTAAGTAAACGAACTCAGCAGGGTTAATCGCTTTCCCACTGGGACATGGGAAGTATGCCTACCCTGTGTGTCCCTTGAGAAGGGAAGAAAAAAAAAAATATGTCACACAGAAGGATCCCACTACCCGTTGCGTCCTATTCGTAATAAAGATCACTTCTTTTTCTTTTTTCCTCTTCTCTCTAATATTTGTCGTTGTCTCCATTGGAATGGTCATTCCCCATGGGGGGGGGCACCCTCTTCGACATGATCTTCATTCTGAGTCTTTGTTACTTCAAGTCTGGTTCATTTGCCCACGTCCGCCTTGGCTTCCGAGGTGGATAAGCGTGGGTCGACTTCCACCCCAGCAGGGGCCACGGCCTCCGAGGGAGCATCGTCAGGCTTGTCGGTTTGCACAGCCAGGGGGGCCTCCTCCTGCGAGAGGGTTTTCACCGAAAGGAGGCGAATTCGCATTTGGTTGCTTCCGCTTTCGGAGGCATTTTGGCCGGCACCTTGGCCCACACTTTGCACCGCGGGTTCACTGATGCCACTGACATTGGCGCCCACGCCGGAGGCTCCCTTGTCGGGCAGGGTCTTCAGTTTAGTGGCTGCGTTAGCTTTGTCGGCGGCGTTTTCGCCCCCTCGGCTCTTCTTCGACTTCCTCATCTTTTTATTCTTCCCGACAGTGTAGGGGGTGTAATCCTCGTCGTACTTCTGGGAGTGTTTTCTGCCAAAGGCTTTTATGGAAGAGCTATCTGCGTCATCGTCTTTGGTTTTTTCCATGTCGTAGGGGTTAAACTGGTGTGTGTTCCTGTTCCGGTTGGCCTTGGCATGCATGCCACTTCCGTGGGCGCCGCTACCATGGATATCATTTCCGTGTACATGGCTGGCGAGCTGATCATGTGGGAAGCCACTCCTCTGATGGACGTTGTCCTGGTTGTTCCATTCAGACGGGCCGTTCCTATTTCTACTCGTATTATGTAAGTAAGGAGGCGACTCACCATTCATCTCCATCTCGACAAACAACTTATCATGCTGACTCTTCACACGATCGAAATCGGTTTTTATGAGATAAGATATCTGGTTGTTGATGCATATCTTCTCTTTCAGGAGAGCTATACACTGTTCCCTGTCGCTAATAATTTCGTTCAGGAGATTTTCTAATTGTTCCTCGGTGTATATTTGTATCGGTTTGCAGACTGGGCTCTTTTCTTGGTCGTCTGTGTTTGCGCTGGGGATGTGTTGGTTGCTGTTTCTCTTTTTGTACGTCTGGGGGGGGGGTAGGTGGGTTCCCCGCTTGGGGGCGGGGCTTGCCGGCTCCTCACACGGGGTATCATTCGGGTTTGTATGGTGATTTGCTACATTATTTGGTATATTATCTTCCTCCTTTTCGGCTTCCCCCTTCTGCTCATCATCTGTTGGTATTTCCTGTTTAATCCCTTTCCCCTCGACGGGGGTTCTTCCCGCACGGTTTGTTTTTCCCTCCAGGTGGAGACCATCCGTTGGAACGTCTTGCGGGTTGCCTCTACTACCTGTCTTTATACGCGCGGCTGTCTTTTTCCTGTGAGATCTGGGATGGTGCGAATTCCCTTCACGTTGGGCTGCTTTCTGCGAGGTGCCTTTTAAAGAGGACTCGCTCCCTGCGTCCGTGGGGTCATTGGGCTGGCAGTTATTGGATGGTTCCTCAACGGTAGGATTACTATCCCGTGGTGGATCAACATCGGCTAGTGGGGCTCCACTTCCCGAGGGGTCCTCCCCATCGGAGTGTTCCTCCTCCTTAATGGGCACTTCGCGATCCCCCGACGGGTTCACGTCCCCCTGGTTACTTCTTCCATTCAGTTGATCGCACTCCGTCTCACAGTTCTGTTTTTCGAACTCAGGCAGAATTTCCTCATTCTGTAGGCTCGACTGACCAGTCAAGTAGGTCCCCTGTCTGTCAATCTGATTCCTCGATAGGTGATTCAGATTTGCTAAATAGATTTCCTCCTTCTCTTGGATGAGCTTGTTTATCTGGTTCTCTTTAAAATCGAGTTCCTTCATTAGGAACAGCAGTCGGTGTAGGTAGCCCGTAATGTGAAACACATTCTCCATGTATATTTGTGCAGAATCCGACATGGTGCTTTTCTTCCGGGGGGTGACTCATTCTTGGGGGGGGCACATAATAGGAGCGGTATGGCAGCAGAGTGGCAGCGGAGTGGTCGGTGCTGCTGGGGTAGTTCTTAGATTTTCCTTTCTCTTTTTTTTTTCTTCCTCTATGAAACCGCACCCATGTGCTCCTCCTTCTGCCAGGAGTTCTGTCTCAACTTAAGCAAAGGCGGCACATATGCCTTCTTCACCCGCGTAGGACACACCACCGTTGTTGTCCCACAAGTGGGGGAAGCAACCTGCAATGGGTTTCTCCCCTGCGGTTCTATTGTGGTGCGATGAGGAACACCGAATGAGACAATCCAGATGAGACACGCCAAATTCCTTTAGCTAAGTCTATAGCAGGTGGCATCTGAGGAGCGATCTCAACTGCGGCTAAGTGCGGCGCAGAAGGGGCAGATGGACAGTAACGGGCATTACCCACGGCGTAGTGTTCTCCTATATAGTATGTTCAGGGTTGCACTACCTGTGTGTGCATGCTGCTTCTAGTTTATCGGCCGCGGTACCTTTATGCATGCTCTTTCATGTTCTGAATAGGGTAGGCGGCTGTTCTGCAAAACTGTTGACATAAAACCCTTCTTTTTTGGCTTCTTTGGCCCTTTTCTTGACTGTTTTTTTTACTTCTCTTCTTGCTATTTTGGGCTCTTTCCCCTTCTATGCTGCCCCCGACTCGGTTTTCCCAGTTCAAACGTGGTGCAATATGTTTGGTGAGAAAAAAGAAGTTCCCTTTATGGTCTTAAAACCATCCTTGAGCAGAGCACCAAATTGTCGAGTCAGCTTGGAGCCCCCGGTTTTGATGCAGGTTGCACTTCGGTTTCTCGCGATAGGTGTATCCCATGCGTGCGGAGGAAACGTCGGGGGAAGAAGGAAAGTCGCATAGATGCTGAACCTCTTAGGAGTGTACTTTGGAATGTAAATGTATTGGGGACCTGGGGTGGCGAAGTGGTGATCACTACAGAGCACTACGGAGAGATGTGCAGACAGCATGGAAATCCCCGTGCACCCCCTTCTCCAACGTGGGCGGGGAGTCTCTTTGCCACTGAACCGTTCAATGTAAGCGGATGGGGTCTACCTAACAACAGTGGCGTGGATTCGTCTGCTGAGACATATGCACTGAATGCAATTATTTGCGTTTGTATGTGGGGCAGTTCAAAGGCGTCCTCTGGATGCGCCGCTCTGTGCCCCTCGAGTTGACAGGGCAGGAGTTGAAAACGGGGAACAACTCGCCTGGTAAACCCGTTTGGGGCATGCGCTTTGGCTAGCTGGTAGGGGTGGGGCGGCTAATCCGCTAGGCCCATAAATTGATAGAGGCGGTCACGCTCCTATGCAGCCGTGCATGCGCGCGCAAAATGGCAGAAGGCTTAAAAGGAAAAAAAAAGGAAAAAAACACTCGTCAAAGTCGTAAGAAAAAGCAAGTGGGGCCTTCCTTACTGGGAACTGAACAGGATCTACGCAAAGGAAAATAAAAAAAAAAGAAAAAAAAAAAGAGCGTAAAGCGGCTTAGCACAGCACAACGTAGCACAAGGCACAGTAAACCCTCGCGGTCACTAGCAACGTTAGCATGCATCGGTAACGTGAATGCTATTCGGACCTCCGAGCGGAAATACGCCTGGGAAGCTGCAGTGTTGTGTCAAACTCATGTTTGTTCCCCTCCTTTTGGAAAGAAGCGAGGATCCCTCTTGTGCAACCCCAAAAAAGGGAATTCCCCTTTCTGCTGATAGTTGAGTTAGTTGAACAGATTTGAAGGGGAAAAAAAAACAAAAAGAAAAAAAAAAAGAAGTCAAAATCAGAGGATTAGGTGGAAGAAGAATAGCACTAAGAAAAAAGAATGACGAATAATGCCCCTTCTGTTTATCCATCGTAACTTTCATCCGATGAGTCTCATTCTTAAAATAATTTGACAGGGCGGGAGAATGTGCCTTTCCTTTTGGGGAACCATCCCTACCGACAAGGGGACATCTCAAAAAGAGGGGAAAACCAGACGCAGCTGATTCAGCCCCAATGAACATCCTTTCGTTGCAAGGTTAGAGCGGGACAGGGCGAGACAACAGACCAAGATGGAGATGTCCTACACCCTTTCAGCAATTTGTTTTCTTATTCTTCCGTTTTTGCAGGTTGGGTCTGGAGAGGAAGGTTCATTTGTGTCGCTTCTGGCAGCAGGGGGGAAAGCTACTTTAGTGGGAACGGCTTGTTGGGTACAGTTTCGTTGTTTTTTTGCCCCCGCTCAGACGGGCAGCAGATGGGGAGAATTCTCTCCGCTAGCAGGACTACGTGACATCTCCACTGCTTCTGCTGTATTGCACTCTCTATTTTTATGTGAATGGATTGAGAAGTTACTTCGTGAGGGGTGGATGAGGCCTTCTCCTCTGTGTTGCTTTTCCTTTGCAGCTGCCCATGTAAGAAGGGCCACGCCCGCCACCGAGCGAAGCCACCCAAGTGGAGTGGGCGGATACAACTGTGGGATTCACTTCTACTTTTTTACATCTGTGTTGGTTTTGTTAGTATTGAATGGAGCCAGGCCATGTCTCCTCTGTATGTGTTCTCCGCGAAATGTCTTGGGGGAGAATCCTGACACTTGCAGAGAGGACTAGTATTCGTTGGGGAGAAGATCTGGAGTCAGCTCCACGTGAGAACACGAAAAAGGGAGCAAAACTGTTTGGCGAATCATCAACACACTCGAAAATCGTTTTGTGAATATGGGATGTGTATGGTGCACTCTTGTTTTTACGTTAATTAGAAAAAAGAGAAAGCGGGGGAGGTGAAAAATAAAAAATAAAAAACATAAAAACATCCCTCCTCATGTGTGAGGAAATGGATGTGTGTACATATCGATACAACGATGTAACGAATGGGAAGGGAAAAAACGGAAGGGGATGTACAGAAGGGAAGCGAAAAAGCGGAAGTGTCTTTCGCTTAATTTTATTGTATTTTTTTTTTGTTCCACATTGGTGGTTTTATATTCAGACGAACCATGGGGGGTCACACACGGCGAAGGATGATGGAGTTATACTTGCGATGAATTCGGAGGGTGAGAAAAAAAAAAAGAAAAAAGGAGCACAGACTTCTCAGTAGGAGAACTACATAACCTCGGAGAGCTTCTGCGAAACGGTGTTCAGATCAATCGTCTCTTTGTTCTCTGGATTGGTTATCTTGAGGAGGAGATCCAAGTCTTTGTCCGTGAGTCTGGTGTCCAGCGCTTTCATTATCTACGAGGGGGGAAGCGGTTTGATGTGTTGTAGAACGGTGGGAGGAGTGTGCGGGGGAAACGTAGAGCCTCAAACATGCGGCAGACACACAAACCACTATTCACAGGGATAAGCGGTCGACAATGCCGTTTCGCTTGGGAACTTACCCCGATGAAATTTTGAATCTTGATCTGCACCCCGGAGTTTTTTTCGCTGACACTGCGGACATGCTTGAAGGGGTCCTGGTGGTTGTAATGCCTTTTGGCCAGCTTCAGCCAGAATTCCATGTCGACCATCTGGGGGGGGAGGCACAGGAAAGCAGATTAGCAAATTAGCGAATTAGCGGTTGAAGTGTCTACGTGTGTGTGTGTAAGGGGGCTGTACTTCGTTCCGCCGCTGCTTACCAAGGGCAGTTCAGCCTTCTCCTCAGGCGGGAGGATAATCCCAAAAGAATGCATCAGCTCGTAAAACTGGTGCAGCTCCATCTTGTCGCTACACGAACTGAACAGGATGAACGCCTCGCGAAATTTGTCCTCCATTTTGTGCTGGTGAAGGGGCGGATGAAAAAAAAAAAAGAAAAAAAAAAAAGAGAAGGAAAAAGAAAAGGGAAGAGAAGCAGGAAAGAGGCGGAAAAGGAAAGGAAGGAATGAAAAAAAAAAAAAGAAAAAATTAACCTTATAAGATAATCTGTAGAGGCAAATGATAAAAAAAACTTTCGAACAATTCTTTTTCGCACGACATCGTAAGATTTACTTCGTTTATCGCGTTGCGGTTAGCTTAATTTTTTTTTTTTGTTCTTTCTGCATGACTCATATGGATTTTTTTTTTTTTTTTTTTTGCTTCATAAGGTCTTATTGTCGCCCCATCTGTGTTACCGTTTGTTTGTGTTGCGCGTTGATTTGTTTTTCATACCAAGTCTCAGTCACGTTCTGTTGTGTAACGTTCCGCTGTGCCACTCCTGTTGTGCCATTTGCCCTGTGTTGCAACCCGGAGTAGCTGCGCTTGAGGGCAACACACACGGCTGCAACAAATGTGTAGCTAGCAATTCACGCGAGGGGGGTGCGTGCCCGAGGAGTAAAAAAAAACGAAAGAAAAAAAAAAGGAAAGGAAAGAAAAGAAAACAAGAAAGGAAGAAAGAAAAAAGGGAAGGAAGAAATTCGGACGTCAGTTCCGCGGCGTGTAGGATTGTTTCGTTCGTTTGGATTACTTTTCCTTTTTCGGTTCTTTCACGCCGGCGTTTAACTCTTCTTTTCGACGTTTGGGGCAAAGCAGAGTGTGGTCTTAAGATTCCCCCGCAGTGCGCATGACAGGGAGTTAGGGGTTAACCAATAGTTGCTGTCGCAACTGCTACGTGCACGTGCGAGCCGGATGCCCTGGCATGTATGTTAACAGCCCCTACGTTAAACTTATGATGTGTGCAAAGTGGAGCTTTCACAATGGAGCCCCTTCCTTCCGTTTGTTCCAGTCATGTGTACAAGGGGGATTTTTTTTTTTATCTTTTTTTTCTTTTTTTTGGCAAATTTCCGCGATGGGTTTTTATCAGTTGGCGGCGGGTTAATAGAACCTCGCCTGGGACAAGGGCACACCGTATCGCGCGAAGAGAAGTTGGGAAGGGGGCCACGCGACGTCATGACTCCAGCCATGGTTCGCTAAGTGGGACCAAACTGACACGTGACATGAACGAGGGACTCTCTACCCTAATCTGTGTGTCCTCATAAAAGAGCGACAGCCGCTAGGTGTACTTATGTGTAGGCCTGCGGAAATTTTTTCCCCCCCAGCTTCCTGCATCCGAACACGAGCCCCGTCAGTTATGGGGTTAAGGAAGCTGGGCGCCTTTAAGAAGGGCTCTTCGGGAAGGACACTTCTCTCGTCTACGCAAATTCTGAGAACAAGCTAAAGTGATGTGAAGTGAAACGAATCGAAGTGAAATGTTCTTTTTTTTTTTTTTTTCGCGGTATGTACAACTTGGTTATGTATGTACCCCCTTTTGTTGGGGGAAACTGATTGGCCTCTTTTTTTTTCTTTTCTTTTATCTCTTGGCACAGTCTTTCGCGAGGTGAACACTGGGGTGTGATTATTCATTCATCTTAGCAGGGCACGTTAAATGGTTGAGTCACGTATCAGCGCAAATCTGTTCACTCGTTGATTTCGCACCGTCGTCCTGTTTCCTCATCTGCTACTACTCTACGTTCGCAAGTTTCGTTCATCGTAAAGTCTGCCTCCTCCGCGACTTGTCCCGTTTAGCCACCCAAGTCAATAATAGAACGAAACATGAGCTCTCCGAAGAAGCGTTTTTTCCTGTTTGACGTGGATGGGACGCTGACCCATGCGAGGGCGGTACGAAAGAGGGAGCTACGTTACTTCGCTTGTTGTCCAGGTCGTTGGGATGGCCACAATGAGACACGTTTGCCCCTCAGCTGCCACACCACTTTCACACACCAGCCGCCTACCTGCCACACACCTATCGCATACGTGCCTCCCCCCGTACAGCCGATCGAAGAACGAATGGTGGAGGTTCTCCGCAAGCTCAAGTCCAAGGGGGACATCGCCCTGGGGGTGGTAGGAGGGTCCGACTACCGGAAGATCATCGAGCAGATAGAATGTAGGAGAGAGGAAATGGAAAAAAAGAAAAAAAAAAAGAAAAAAAAAAAAAAAAAAAAAATGAAGATTAATGTGAATTTCTTTCTTTTGTTACAGCATCGAACTTAAAAAAAAGAAAAAAAAAAAGAAAAAAAAAAAGCGATAAAAAACGGCTCGTTCGTGCAGCCACGCGAAAAATTACCCATGAGAGGCCTCGTCCGTTTACCTACCCACGCCCAACGTACATATATCTGCATAAAAATCGACACAATTGTTTGTTCGTTTCCCCCCCGTTGCAAGACCCCGAGATGTTCGATTTTCTGTTCTCAGAGAATGGCGTGGTAGCGCATAGGGACAACGATGAGTTCTACTCGGAGGTAGGGCGGCCATGAGTGGCTACGCGGCGTTGTCTAAATGAGGGTCGCTTCTTTCCTGCACACGCTTCCTTATTGGTCTATTTGGCGATTCAGCATGTAAACGTGGGCATTCGCTGTCCTAACTTTCTCTTCCTTTGTGTTCACTTCGTCCCCCTGTGTGCTCCTCCTCACAGAGCATAACGAAATTTCTTGGCGAAGAGAAGATGCAACAGTTGGTGGATTACTGCTTAGTGTACATTGCGAATCTGCGGGTGCCAAAGAAGCGGTAGGGGGAGGGGAAGCAGAAGAAGAAAGGGGAGGGTCCAAGTTGGTTTGGTGGCTACCCCTCGTTTGGAAGAACCTACCACAGAGTGTTGCGGACTATACACATGGCAATGCTGTCCCCTCCTTTTTTCTCTCAACACAGAGGGACCTTCTTCGAGCTGCGCAAGGGAATGATAAATATCAGCCCCATTGGGAGGAACTGTACACGGGAAGAGCGTGCACACTTTTGCAGATATGACGCGGAGAATTCAATCCTTCGTAGTTTCCAGTTGGACTTGATGAGGAAGTAATGGCTTCGTTGGTGTTCCTGCAACGTAGTTACTCTATTTAGGCGCTTACCTCAGTGAGGAGGATACCTGTGTTATTTGGTTACCCCGCATGGCAGTTATGCATGTTGCTTCCTCCATGCTCACATCTCTTCTCTTCCATTCACGTAACTCCATGCCACTTTCCTTCACTTCGCTCCTCTAAGCTTTTCGCAGTTTGACTTGACGTTCTCTATCGGAGGCCAAATCTCCATAGACTGCTTCCCATCGGTAAGAAATCGGAGTGAATTCGTTAGGGGAGCAGTGCCCCCCTGGGGAATAGCCCGCACGGGTGACTGCTGCTCAATGGGGGAGCTTTCACGGGAAGACATTATCTGTTACGGCATTGCCTCCCCCCCTTACTCGCAGGGATGGGATAAAACGTTTTGCCTGCGGCACATTGAAGGGTTATTCAGTGAGGTCCTATTTTTCGGCGATAAGACAGAGAAGGTAAGGGTGGTAGGAAAAAGAAAAAAACATCAGTAGGTGCTCTTGGCGTGCCTCCGTGTTTATGTCTTCACGTTGGGATGCGTGTGTTTGTCATATTAGCCCTACCGTCTGTTGGGAAAGGGGTCCCATTTCTATCGAGCGTTACCACCACGGCACGAGTCTTTCTGCTTTTCTCCTTCAGGGAGGGAACGACTACGAGATTTATCACGACCAGAGGGTGCGTGGGTTCTCTGTTAAAGGTCCCGAAGAGACGGAGGAGATTATTAAGTCGTTTCTGGACCAATAGGAGGTCCTGCTCATGTGTGTGCAGAGAAACGATGTGGCATATATATTTTCTGTCAGGTTAGGGGACACTCCACGGGGATTCACACCCAGAGGGGGTAACAGAGGGGGCGTAACAAAGAGGGCGTAACAAAGAGCCCTTGCCAGGGTGAACTCTCGGCGTGGTTCTTTCTTTCCCTGTTTGCTTCGTGGGTGGCTATTTTCCCATCAGGGTGACATTATCCCTGTTGTCCTCCACCCCCGTTGTTGTGATTTGCTTCCTTCGGGGAACAACACATGTGAATATATCTTTACCATCTCTGGCATGTCCCATTTTTTTTTTTTTTTTTTTTTTTTTTTTTTTTCATTTCAGCTGCGTCTTTGGGAGGTAGGCAAATTTACCAAGTGGACGATTTCGGGGAGACCACTTGGCGGCTCCTCGACGAGGTGAGGGGAAATTAGAAAAAAAGAACCGCAGAATGTCGTAAAGATATCACAGGAGAGATGAAAAAAAAACCCTAAAAAAACTGCAAAAAAGACGTCAGAAAACGGAAAACATAAGCTTTGTGTGACGCCTTTTATGTCTCTTTTTTTTTTTCTTCTTTTTGCTTCCAAATGATAGGTTGTATGTTCCACCATTCTGTTTCGTTCTGCCACAGGGGAAGGGATTTATTTGCAACACCAGGAAAGAAAAGCAAGTCGACTTCCCACTTGCATCATCGCTCACCGTAAAGAGGTGAGCAACGTTTGGGTCTTTTTTTTTCCGTTTTTTTTCTCTCGATCTGTTTGCGTTGTCCGTATAAGGCTGTCAGCACGTTTTCCATTTTTATCTTTTTCGTTCTCTTGCGCCTCGTCTGTGTTTTTTTTTTCGCAGTTATTTTGCGTTTTTCTGTCGCGTTTTTTTTTTTGTTTTTTTTTTGTATTTTTTTTTTTCTTCATTTACGGCTAGTTTGCAACCAGTGAGTGAACCCCATTTAAGACATGGAACAGAAAAAAGAAGAAAAAAAAAAAGAATATAAAGCAAAATAGAGCAAAATAAAGCAAAGTAAGGCAAAGCAAAGTCAAGTCAAGGAAGGAAAAAATTTCAAGCAGACCCGCTCAGTTCCCCGAAGACCGAAGTGCACATGTGTGCGTAACTTTGTGGCAGCCACCAACTTGCTGTGTTGCATAATTTACGCGGCTATACCTTCTTGATAATCATATTCCCCCGGCGTGTGGGGCGTCTTTGTGTTCGCATGTATCTTTCCGAGTACCCATTTGAGATGCCATGGGGGCAGGCCACGCGAAGGAAGGCAGCGGAGGTAACGAGGATATGGTGGTGGTACCCCGGAGGAGGAGTCCTCCGTTTGTTTAGTTATTTCCTCGCCACATCGTCGCATCGATTGCACACCGCTTCCACGCCGCTTCCCCCCCGCAGGATACCGCATCGTGCGTATTTGCCCCGAGGGACCCGTGTCGGAGTGCGACATGGAGATCTTCTTCGATTACATTGTACAGATAGAAGACGTGCAGTTGCAAGACGCCTCCAGGAAGACATACGAGTCTTTTATGCAGAAGGTACGAGAAGGAGAGAACAAAGAGGTGCGTCTGATAGTGTATAGCTGTCGACATGATAAACTGAAAGAGGTGCATGTGAGGCCAAGGAGGTGGAGCGGAAAGGGGTTACTAGGTATGAACATAAGTTATGAGAAAGCAAATGCAATGGAGGAAGGAATTCAAATTGTAAGCATTGAGGATGGTCACTCAGATGTTAGAAGTAAAGTAACAGAGAAGGAAGACATCATTATCGGGCATGAAGAGAATATCCTTCGGAATTGTGATGAGCTTCGTAACTTTGTCGAGGCTAATTTGTTTAGCTACCATAGAGAAAGGAAGAAAAGGTCTCCACTGGAGCTACCCTTTTATGTGTATAACAGGAAGAGTGGAGATGTGAGGAAGGTTAAAATGCAGGTGGATCTCGCGTGGGGAAACCACGGACTGATCGGGTGTCACCTCCGCAGTGGTGGACACCTGTGTGAAATGGATGATTCGATTGGGGAGGGGTGGAGGGCAGAGGAGGACACCACGCGAGGGGGGAGCCACGTGATGGGCCGCGACATGAGGCGTCATATGAACCGCCAAATGAACCGCGAGATAAACCGCCAGATAAACCGCGAACTGACACAGGAGGCGGTCCCATACGACAGGCCGCCCCCCCCCGAGCATGTCACCACCGCGGAGTGGACTAATGACTTATCCGGTAAGTCCATCGAATGGGGTGCAGACCCATCCGTGAGAAGTAGCCACATCCGATTTGGCCGCAATGAAACGAAGAGGGAAGAAGCGGAGGGGGAAGAGCCAGTGCGCCCAGATTATGGCAGGTTGAATACGCACTTTTTTAGAGACGGCAGTGTTGCGGGCGCGTTGGGCACTTCGATGAGCAGTTCGCTGGGCAGAACAATGGACAGATCATTGGATAACTCAGCGGGCGGCGAGAAGAGCTACGCTTTGAGCTCCACGATCGAAGTTGCGGTTGAGGGGTGCGCGGAGGGGAACCTGCACATGGGCGAGGAGTGGAACCTGGACATGAGCCCAGACGGCGCGCTTTCTGACATCTCCTCGGGAGGGAAGAAGCCGAAGGGGAAGCATGTCATGCAGCCCGCACAGATAAAGCATACGTTGAATACTTCGCCCACCTCACACGAGTGGAACCTTCCCCCAGAGCAGGAGCAGCCACCCCCAGATCAGCGAGACAGCCCAGCAGACAGGTACGAAAGGTACGTGAGGAATATGAAAACATATAGCGAAGAGATGTTAGAGGTTTATAAAGACATGGATGAAAATGGTAGACTCCTGGAGGAGCTGAAGTTACGGACGCTGAGAAATTCTTCCATGGGGGAGAAGTTGGTTAGTGGCGAATGTGATTACCTCGCTGGAGAGGTGAGTGCTCCTGTGGTGGGTTTCCCAGGATGGACGCTCCCGGAAGGGGACAAAAATGAGAGAAGCGGAATTGGCCAAGTTGATATGGAGGCAGAATCTCACGGAGGAGATGGTCTCCTCATGTAGGGGGAAATGTCCAAATGTACCTCGACAGGTCACACATGGAAAAATGGCCGAGGAGTCGCACCACCTGCCGTGGGGTTAGGAGCTCTACTGGTAAATTCTGTGTCCTCCATTCGGGGGGAGGAATACTGTTAAGGGTTGCAATCACCTCTCCCCCCCATCCCATATGGAAGACGCATAAACGGATTGTGATATGTAATCCACCCAGTAAGGTTATAAGGGGGATGAGTCGTATATTCAGTTTGAGTTTTATAACGCGATTCGTCATATGTGACGTGGTATTCTCATACATATACGCACTTATGTGTGGGAAGCCCTCACATGAGTATGTCTCAAAACGAATAAACTCGTTTCTTATTTTTTTGTGTACGCTTCATATGTTTATCACTTGTTTGACGTGGGGAGGGTAGGGACGATGGGAAGAGGGAGGCGCCCCCAATGTGTTAGTCGCCCCAATGTCTAATTGGCTTATTGTGTTCTTTTTTCCCTGCTCCCCCCCGTTATCTTTTAAGCCATAAAAAGGGGTGGCCTTTCCAAATGCGTCTTCACTACGCCGTTGGAAGGGAATCTTCGGGCACAGCAAAAGGAGTTCGCTCCAAGTAGAGGCCACCCATGTTTGTTTCATTCCGTTTCGCCGCGTACCGTGGTGATAGCAATTCTGTTGGTTCCATTTTGTGTACCCACTGGTTAAGATGCTTCACAAGGAGCGTGGCTTCGCCAATTGGTACCTTTTAATTAAAACTCACAAATCGTCCTTAGGGATATGCTTAGTCATATTTTGAATGAATGAGGAGACAACCAGCGTGTGTCTCTGTGTGGAGAGGCTTCTCTCCCAAGGAGGATGTGAAGAAGAAGAAGACGACAGGGTCATAGGGCCAGTTTGTTAATCTCGTTCAGTTGGTCCTTCAGGTAGTCATCACTCCATCGTTTTCTCTGCAAGGGGGAAGTGAAGGTAGCATGGCATAAGTGCAGAGACGATGTCCCTATCGAGGGATTAAATTGCAGAATGGCGCAGGTGCTAACGTGGAGATGACCATCCCGCTATGCCTCTGGGGCGTGTTCTCCTGCGAACCTGCTCTGCGTAAAAGTGACGGTCGTGTACACCACAGGGTTGATTGCATCGATCGAGGGCACTCAAGCTGGAGAAGCTTATGTCGGGTCTGTCATGCACAGCAAACTCGTAATCATTTTTGTAAAAGAGGAAGTAATGGATGATGTCCTTCTTCGTTTCAAGAAGGGAGTTATTCAGGTAGGTGCATTTGAAGGAGTGATCGGTCTCTTTAACCAAGTAGGAGGTGATTCCATTGAGAACATCCGGACACGAGATGAAGTTCGCTATAGCATTCGTCTCAATGTTTAGTGCTTTTAAGAGGAGCTCCGAATCGATGGCGAATCTCAGTTCAGCCAAGCTTACTTCTTCCTTTGTCGTTGGGACTAATTTGTAACTATTTTGTGTCATCTGATTGTATAGCTTTTTTGTGACTTGGGCTTTTTTGAGTAGCTCCATTTTGTGGGTTCTAAGTAGATGCAAAATTTCAAATGTTAGATGTGCCGCTATAGGAGGCTGCGAACAGATCTGTTGGTATGTTTTTTCTGCCCAGAGGCGAACCTTTTCATCAGGATTGGTTCTCTTCCTAGATGCATCTAGCTTGGCAATAATTTGCATCAGGGAGGGGTACTTAAAATGGTCGTGGATTATTTCTTCGTAATTTTTTAAGGTATACATTTTTGGGACTTTCAAAAAATGCTCTTCCAAGAGGAGGTTGGCATCTTGTTCGGACACCTCCAGTTGCGATTCTGATGTGAGTTCCATTAGCTCTAGACAGTCTTCTGCTATCCACCTTTTTGTCAAACCGCACCATATAAGGTCCGCAGATTTTAGTACCTCCCCTGTTAGGGCTAAGTAGAATCCAATGGATCCTCTCAAATTGGCTAATACATAGGAGATGCCACCATAAGGCAAAAAGGAGTACTTCAAATTGGTGTAGGCATATGAGGAGTGAAAATATGAAGCGCTGTTGTTGGCCAGGAAGGGTATGAACCCTCCGGAGCCTCTAACGCTGCCGTTACAGTAAACTATGAGTGGCTTCCTATATGAAAAGATCAGGTAGCTTAACTCATTAATGTTGTAGAGAATCTTTTTAAACACATCTGCACACTTGTTGTTTTTCCCTTTTTGATACACCTCCACGATTTTCAGCATGTCCAGTAAATTGTATCCATGGATAAACGACTCGTTGCTGATCGATGTTAGGAAGGTAAACCTTTTTGTGAAATTGATCTCTCCATTTAGTAGTTCCTTATACAACTGGTTAATACATTTTAGGTCCATGTATTTTCTGTTTAGGAGGATGGCGTTCATCCCTACATTGCTCCGAGTGTAGACGGGCTCATTTGGGGATGCTCTGTTGAGGTAGTTTGTTTTGTTCGGTTCTTCGTTGTGAATTTGGAGGGGGTCTAAATATATGTCATCATCTTTGAAGATGGACGTTCGGATTAGCCTTCTGTCTGCGCTCCAGTTGGGGCGTCCCCTGACGGTCATATACAAGAGGCAGTGCGAATTGGCGGTTGTGGTGAGGTGTTTAAGCTGGGGGCCGCTCACCCGGTGGTTACACTTAAGGCGCCGCATTGTGTGGCGACAATGCGGAGCAACTTTATTGTGCTGCATTACAACGGCGTGTTTTTCCCTTCTGGAGAGGAGCCCCTCTGCCATGCAGCCTCGCTACCACGCCTGTCCCGTCTGTAGCACTCCCGTAGGCCTCTCCTCCGCGGCATGATTCTTTCACGTCAGCATGAACACATTTTTGTGAGGCAGAGAATTTAGGGAATATTTTCCCGATTCTTGCTTCTTTCCCCTTCTCTCTCCAATTTTGCGACCCATTCGAATTTCTTCTCACCGCGGTGGGAAAAAAAAAAGTTCACCATTTTTTTTCCTTTTTTTATGGGAATTATTTTGAACGGTTTGGCTCCGTCGCGCGGGGGGACACTGCCCCGGTTCGGCGCGGTGGGGAGCCCAGTGGGGGGAGCGAATTACGTGTGTGCATTCGAGAGAATTTGTTGCCGTTTCGCTTGGTCCGTTTGTATGCGCCTTAGGGAGCTTCGAAAAATATCGACAAAATGTATGACCCGTTCAGGCAATTTTGCCCCACTTTTGTGACTTTTTTTTCGAGCCAGGGAAGTTACACGATGTATTCCAGTTGAGCAAACCGAACTGGAGAAGCAACTGCGGATTAGCGGCTAAGACATTTTACCGATCAATATTGAGCATAATTTTAAACCCCTTTTGCGCCAGCCTTAGGGTGGACCTGTTCCATTTTTTGAGACATTGCGTTGGAGGATGATATGCGCAAATGGGGGGCAGCCATCTCGGGCGAGATCTGCGAAAGTTTGTCAGGTTAAAAGAAAGGTGAAAAGGTACCTCCGGGAAATGTATCAAATGTGTTGCATATGCCAAGTGTGCAACATCTGTAGCGTTCCGCTTTTGAGCTGTGACAACTAGGAGAGCCTCATTAAGTGGCACGTGTTTGTCTACAACAGCTCACCTGCCAAGTGGTCTGCGGTTCCCGCGCTGTGTGCGGCGCCGTACAGGAACTCTAACTGGTGAAGCGAAGCGTTCCATTTCGGAAATCCCTGAAATACAGAGAGATGAGTCCGAATATAGTGTAGCATATTTGGGAAGACATGGCTAACGGATTGATAAGAAAAAAAAAAAAAAAAAAGGTGGTATATTTCAAGTGTACCGAATAGGAAGTGAAAAAGATGTAAAATGAATTTTGCCCACAGTTGATGATAAAACCGTGATGGGGAAAAGCAAATACAAATTTTTTCTTAGCAGCAAATTTTGCGAACTTTTCCTTTTGCCTGGTGTTCTTTACCATCACTGGCGGTAGCATGCAACTGGGTGCTGTGAATTTGTTTCCATATTTTCATCATTTTTTTTCTTTCTTCGGGGATGACTCCTTTTCACGATATGCATTTGTGTATTCCCTATTATGGGAAAGACAGGCCGATCGTATGGGAGCAACCCACATTTTGTTCTTTTCCGTTTTGAAAGCAGATCGTGGTTACCTGTCACGTAAGGTGTGTGCGTGTGTGTCCATCTTAGCATTGCACTGGTCTATCTGCATTTGGATTTCTGCGTTTTTTGCGTCTTTCCGTTTTTCCCTTTTTGCCTTTTGGCGTTTTTGCGTTGTCCTTCCGCGAATTTCTTTTTACGTGTACATCTACTGATTGCACATTTGCGTGTATGCGCGGCAATTCAAAGAGATTCTCCCTTCCCTCGATTATAAGAAAAAAAAAAAAAAGCAAAGTTCAGACCCACCATTTGTCTTCTGCGAGCTGATCAGGAGGTAAAGTTCATCCATCTGTTCTAAGTGGCGAGTGAGGAGCATAGTTGTGTTGTTTTTTTTTCTTTTTGCCCTCCCAGTGGATAGAAGCACAGCCGTGCGCCCCTGACGAGTGAAAACATCAGGCTGTGAAAATTGTCACCTGTACATCCCGCGAATAATCGGAGGTGTATTGAGCGTAACCCCAAAAATGAGGTACCTGAAAGAGTGCAGGCTACTCTGCTGTGTGTACCTTTTGGTAGCAGGGATTGGAACATTGGCCTTGAGGAACAACAAAGTTGACGGGGGTACCCTAGATATACAGGGGAAGCCAGAAGGGAGAGAAGGTGTGAAGGAGCAAAAAGAGGCTTCGAATAAGAACAACATTCTGGACAGTATCGTGATCCCGCAAGATGCATTAGAAAGTGCCAAAAGTGTGTGCGAGGGTGTTGTAATAAAAGGTAAGGAATTTAAAGAATTCTGCAAGAACACATTTTTTTTCAAAGAAATCCAGCTTATAAAAAAGAACGAGCCGAATCTGTATGGACAGATATCAGGTGAATCGTATGAAAGCACAGATACCTCTAGCTTCCAGGTCCTAAAAGATGAGGGAGATAAGAAGGTCGTAATGGAGAACGACAAACACAATCCGAAGATATCCATTCTTTTTTTATTTCAAAAAATGTGCGTTGGGGGAATCCCTCTGGCGTGCACTAACATACTCAAAGTGGACAACATGTTTGACGTGAATCAGACTGAGCAGCAAGGTGGGGGCAGTGCGGACAAGGCGGAAGAGGAAGAAGTGGAAAGTGAAATAACAGGCTCGGCGGAGGAGGGAAGCCAGGGGGTCTCGGAAAGCGTCACGGACCTGACCGAGGAGAAGAGTTGATGGACGGAGCATTTAACAGAGGGAAACGAAATTGGCGTGCTCGGGATGCTGTGAGTAGGATGAAGTTGCACGGGACAGAATTGAAAGATACGCAAGACGTATCTCATTTCTTCCCCGCTGAGTAGTGCGCACCACGCACAGCGCGGTGGCCCCAAAAGTGTTTTTTTTTTTCTTTCTTTCCCTTTCTGGATCGAAGTGACAATCAGTGCTTTGCACCCTTTCTTGAGGGCAGGCGCCACGCTGCATGCGAAATGAGCTGCTTCCCCATTTTCCTGCTCACTTTTTCATTTTTTAAAATTTAGAGTTTTGTCCTTAATTAGTCGTTTCCTCTCGTATGCGCTAATTCTCTTTGAAAAACGCCGTGCCATCCGCGCACTGGCATGTATAGAAAAGAGAACTTTAAAAATGGAGGAGGTTCGCCCCCCGGCTGCTGCTGCCAGCTAGCGGTGGTGAGGGGGCAACTTCGCAGGGACTTTGCGGTGGGGAAGCTTCCTTTAAAAGGCGGATATAATAGGGCAAAGGAGTGCAAGCAGCACATCGCATTCAGCATCGTGTAGGGTAGCATTATAGCGGCAAGACGGTTTGCAAACAGCCACTCGCATCATCCGGCCGCTCCCTCACCAATCGGCGCGCAGGGCACTGATCTGCTCCTGAACGTTAGCCATATCCTTCTTAATTTTGGCTCTCCTGTAAAATATGGGGCAGTCTCTATTCATGCAGATGACCTCAGCGTGGAGGTTCCCCTGGCATCGTTGGCACTCAGTCCAGAGTTGGAAAAACTCAGTCTGTTTTGTTCTGAAATGATTAATTTTCTGCATGTAGATGGAAAACTCCTTGTTGGATTTGCAGTGATTGCAAAGAGGGGGTTTCTTAATGGAGCTGTTACAGCCGATGCATCTCACTGCTTTTTGTAAGAACTTCGAAAGAGCCGTCTGGCTGGACGTTAAAATGGTTTTGGATCTTGTGTGTTCACCACAGAAAAGAGAGTTTGAGTCCTTCAGAATAACTCCGAAGATTCTTGACAGTGTGTTTTTAATTGCATCTAGGTAGTGGTTGTAATCGATGGCTAGGTTATTGTCTAGGACGTAGAGTGGGTCCTCTGCTCGTTCGTGCTGTGCTTGTCCTTTAATCCCTTTGACAATAATGTAGCTGACTCGATCTCCTACATTGGGGGCGGTGGCGCTGTCTCTTTGCCTTAACTTCTTCGCCAACTCTACGTGTGGGAGTCGAGTTTCGTAGTCCGTCTTTCCCAAAGATTTGGTTACGACGAGGAGACTCATGTCGATGTTATTTGTTAAGAGTTCCTTAATTTTGCTCTTTGTATATTCTATGGCACTGTCGACATTTTTCTCGATCAGCAGTTTGTGCAAAACCGTTTCCATCATTTGTTGGATCAGAATGCAGAAGTCTCTCCTAACCGTTTCGATTCCTTTGCAGTCCATTTTGTCGTGCTTCTCCGGGGTGGTATAGAGGAGTCCGGCATACCTCTTCTTGTTGAGTAGAAGGTAGGGGCAATAGACTTTTTCAAATTCTAGCTTTATGGGGTGGAGGAACTCTTTGCTTATCCTTTGCGCGGCGTCTTTTCCTAAATCCATTGCCTCAGCAATGCTGCTGGTGCCAAATTTTACCATAACTGAGTCTGTGTCTCCATAGATCACCGTAGAGTTGTGTTCATATCCGTTGCTTTTATTGTAGTATTTCTCCACGGTTTCTTTCGTCTTATCAATCATGCATCTTCCCAGAGTCGTAATAGACACTGCGACTTCTAGACAAGGGAGCTGTCCCCCCGAGGCAGCGCCGGTGTATCCATATACGGAGTTGGCCGAAATTTTGAGTGCTAGCTGTCTTCCGTTGAGTACCATCTTAGTAATTTTGTTCTGTTCATTTTTGATGAGAAGTTTGACTTTTTTTCTTGCATCTATTAATTCTTCTACGATTAGGGGGAGGATTCCTTTCTTGACCGATCCTTTCACAAATTTGATGTTGCTTCTTCCTTGAATGGAGGTGACCTCTTCCTCTTTGAGGCCTTCGATGTCTGAGTTGTCCTTCACCAATGTGGAGTAGCACAGATTGTGTGCTATCATGATAGATGGGTATAAGGAAGCAAAATCGAGCGTAGAAATGGGTTCTTTATAGTACCCTTTTATGGGTTCCAGGACGGTAGCTCCTTCGTACTTCTCATTGCTACCAAATTTAATATACGTACTAGGGATGACATAATTCAATTCTTTGCATTTGCGGTAAAGCTGGGAGGTGACTTTGATCTGTTGGCCTCTCGTAAGGAGGTAGACGAACGGTGTCCCAGTCACTCTTGCCATTTCGACGTAGTTATAAATGAAGAGCAGCTTATCTATTAGGCGGAGAGGAAGAATGCCGTCTTTTATGCAATATGTAGCTATTCTCTTTCTTGACTCGGGACTCTCATTCTGCAGATCATTCATAATGCTGTAGTGGACGTCTTCCTTCTGCTCCTTCAAGAATTCGAAGGAGACATAATTGAGAGTGTACGATTTTAGCTTGTAGTCTCTCTTTATAAGATCGTAGACGTCGAACTGGATCCTCCCATTGATGTTTATCTCTTTCGTCTCATGGGTCCCAAACTGTTTGGAGGAGAAGTTGGACTCCTTCACAACACTGCTGATGTTTTTTATTCTGCCCAACATTTTTAACTTCTTCAAATTGAGAGCAGTGCCTCTGTTTAGGATGTACGGGAGATCAAAGTTGATGATGTTGTAACCGGTCAAGAAATCGGGATCGAGTTTTGTGATGAATTCACTCCATGCATCTAGTAAAGTCTTCTCATCGTGAAACCATATGACGTTAGCACCAGGGATGCTGGCACACTCCTTAAGCGTGAAGATAAATTTAGAGCATTTTACAATGGGGTCTCCTTGAAAGTACAGAATGGAAGATATTTGTATTATGGGGTCGTTTGTCGCATCGGGGAACCCCTTTCCATCAAGCTTAATACACTCTATGTCGAAGGATAGAATTCTTAGTTTTGGGATCTGCTGGTACTCGTTCTGTAGAGGCATTGGATCTATATGTTCATACGATATATCTATTTCGAAGGAGCAGTTGGATATTTTTTTGTGTCTAGGTCGAATATAGAAGTGGTCTTTCTTGCAGAGCAGCCAAGAAGAACCCGTGATTTTCTTGTCAATTATGTAACGTAGAATGAAGGGCAAGTTAGCTTCGTAGACGATCCCACCGATGCTTTTTCCATTCACATTAGGAACACCTTCGAAAAATTTTTTCAAAGTAGGAACCATCTTAGGGAGGAGGACGGTGATCTTTAGGAAGTCTTTCTTTCCGTCTCGCTTATAATACATTAGACTCTCCGTGTGCACAATTTCGATATTGAGAATCTTCTTGTCATATATTTTGTATTGCCCGTTCGCATTAAGATTGTCATTCATCATGCACTGGAGCTTTAGCAAGTCCTCCTTGTCGAAGCCGCTCGGCATCTCTACATAGAAGTAGGGGAAAAAATTGTGCACGTTGACGAGCACGCTATACCCATCATTCGTCACGGTGTAAATGCGGATCACCGGCACGAAGACGTAATTCTTCTCATTGTTCTGAAACAACGTTCGGTAAAAAGAAAACATGTCGGTTAGGACGCTTCCATTAGGGGTCCCATCATTCGTGAAAACCATGCTCTTGAAGATGTTGTCTACTGTGTATTCTATGTCTATCTGGAAAAGGATCAAATCGCTCTGGTTGGACGCGTGAATGAGCCTGTTCGAGTCATAAGGACTCGGCCTCTCATACGTCGAGAGGAGCTGATTAAACTCGTCGATCACAACATTTTCGGGGAGTTGGTTGTTCTTCTCCTTTTTCAGCTTCTCGTACAGCATCCCGTACGGGATGACGCTCGTGAAGGGGCACTTCTTCATGCCCTCCATGAGGGGGATTGGCGGTACGAAAGGGGAGCGATTAGGGTTGATGGTGCTCTTTGCGTGGGAGACTCCTACTTCTACAACTTCCTCGCACGATGTGTGTAATTCCTGTGGGCACACGGGGGGTCTGTTTTGTTTGACCGTTCAACGGTAGGCGCTCCTCGGCCACATGTGGGGCCGGACGGGGAGCAGAATTCGTGTTTTCTCCCAAGCGTTCGCAGGGCAGCCACGAATTGGGACAGTGAAAAGGAGGGGTGGATCCCCTGGCGTTTCATTCTGTTGGCACTACTTTCGCATGATCACCTTATCATCTTCGTCGCCATAACACATCCAGCGTGTGGCAAATGAGTTAGGCGCAAGAAAAGGGGCACGCAGATGAGAGGATGTTAACCTTCTTTTTCCTCCCTTGGTTCACTATATATCCTTGTTTCACTTTTCGAAAAGCGTCATTTAAAAAAGAAGGGAGTGTTTCCTCAATTGGGGAAGTGGCATAAGGAGAAAGGAGAAGCGGCGTTGGATGGGAGGGGCTGTTTTTTGTGCTCGAGGAAAAAAAAAAAAACGCAGAAGGGGAATGTTTTTTTTTTTTTTTTTTTTTTTTTTTTTTTTTTTCTTTAATTGGTTCTCTTGAAGAAAGGGGCAAGCACAGCGCGATACACATACTATCACAGGAACGTCTACGGGGGGTGTCGTGGGGGCGGACCACCGAGGATTATCAATCGACGAACAGTGGAAAGGTAGCTGGTGAAAGATCACCGCACAGTTCCTTTACTTGGATAACCTTCCCCTTTCGCGAAAGTGCATGTGCAATTTTTTTTTTTTCTGTCTCATCTATTTTTATATGGAAGTGCGCAAAGGGACCTTTGGGACATATGGGCAGAGAATTTGAAGAATCTCCCCCGTTCGACAAGATCCAGAAGAGATGCAAAGAAGATGATGCGCGGATGGGACTCAACCTATGTGTCCGTGTGGTTAGCCTTTCGTGCAGATGTTCACAAGGAAGATGAACATCCCCCCATGATTACCCATGACAGAGGTGATTTCTTCTTCTGCCCCTGCTGCGTGTAATCCGCTTGCAGCTTCTCAACAAGGGGAGGAAGATGCTAATGCCAGGATCGTTCAAAGTGAAATGGACGAAGAGATGAATCTTCTCACCGTTAATGTGTACGGAATGGAACCCGCGCAGGGGAGCCTGCTTTTGAAGATTTCCCTTTTGTCGTAATAAATGTATGGATTTGCACGTTAAGGAAAACGAAAGAAAAGGGAACAAAAATCAGGACTCACTGATAGGGCGCCTTCCCCCGTTGTACCTCATTCCGCTTTAAACTACCTCCAAGGAAGTGCTCCTTCTATTTCGTGTCCCTTTTCCGTTATTTACGCGACATGCTTATTCGCCATTCCAAGGAGACCCAGCTGAGGGAGTTCCCATTTGGGCATGTTTTATGGGAGGGGCATATCCAGAGCGGAGTTTTCGCAGGGGGGGGTTCAAAAAGGAATGTTCCAAAAGGGAGGTTTCAACAAGGAAGACTTCCAAAAGGGAGGTTTACAAGGGGGGGGGGGTTACCAGGAGTGTATGATTTCGTGCGAATATACGATGGGGAGGGCACAGAAGGTTCACTTATGTGTGGATTTTTATTTTCTTCCTTTTCTTTTTACAAATTGCCTTTCGCAGCATGTGGCTGCTTATCAGTGTTCTCCTTTTTGCGAATAGCAATAGTGGTGACCCCTTTTTCGGAGGTGGACATGCAAAAAGGAGAGATGCAATTCGTGGGTGTCCGCATGCATCTGAGCACGCATAAGCAAAGCGATGCAGTGTCTGTTTAAGCTCCTTTGGATAATTCGAGGAAAAGGATCTATACGAGGCGTGATGGAGGGACTTCCCCTCGGTTGCAACAGATGACGGATGACACGTCTAGCAGCTGGTATGCTATCTGTGTACGCATGATGAGTTAAGAAAAAATGACGACCGTGTTGATGACAGGGAGGATGCAGATCACAACGATGGTAATGGTCCGTTTTTTGTTCATTTATGTTTTCCTATGGCGAGATCTTCTCTAAGGGGCCCCCCTGCGCGCTGCATGCATATGTTCGGTAAATTGTGCAAGGGGGCATTTTTGCGCCTCGCGGTGTTGCATTTATGCTAAAAGAAGATTATTTTGACGAGGAAATATTTCCCTTTTCACATACCTTTCCGTTAACCTTCCGTTATTTCACAGAAGGATGTACCTAGGTACCTATATAAGTTTTTGCATGCGCAGACTGAGGCTTGTTCTGTTCGTCTGCTATTTTTTTTTTTCTCTTCTTTTTTTCGCAATGAAGGGAACTCAGTTCAACGTGTGTCCACTTCCCTCGCAGCATTTGACATGTGGAATGAGGGGCATTCGCGTTATGTCGCTTCCATAGCGCCGCTGCTGCTGTTGATCGTTCAAGAAAAACATGACCACATCGATGACGATCGAAAGGGGAGTAACACTTCTTTTGTGTAAATGCAAATGTGCATGCAGTTTAGCCACTCCTGTGCAGTGAGGAGAGGCCATGAATTGGGCGTAAGAATGCTGATGAAATGTTTCCTAGGAGAGTCACTGAATGGTGGGGTGAAATTCACCTGACCGTGCATGCAAAATGGAGAAAAAAAAAAAATAAAATTGACGCGCTATCGGATGAGCATACGACGATATGGGGACATCAACAGATTAGCCAGGTGATGGGGGGGAAGAAGAAAAAAACAGAAAGACCCCTTCTCTCGCTTGTCTTTAGGCAAAATTGGCAAACCACAAATACATTGAGGAGAACTGCATGCGCGAAAAAGCCGCATGTCACTTGAAAATACGAAAAGACGAACGGCATGTTTTAGTGGTTCTACACCAGTTGCACATGCGCTGTTCGCCAAATTGCCAAAATTATTGGGGGGAAAGGGCCCCCCCCCTCTCTTCATTTCACCGTTCCTCAGGAAATGTGGTCTCATCTGAGAATCTCTCCCCCAGGCGCCACCACATGGAGCTAAATATATATGCCTATCCTCGGTTGTTCTGCTCTTGCGTCTATGCACACCCTGCATGTGCTTCTGCCTCCTTGCGCGCTTATCTGGGTTGCATTTAGTGGTGTCGCAGTGGTCCCCCTCCTTTTGGACGCGGCTTCGCTGCGCCCCGTCGTTCTGTTTGCTTCGTATTTTGCATTCTTGGCTTGAGTTGCTCTTTTAAATGGGGCGCAGAAGATGAGTCCCAAAAGTGAAATTAAAATAAAATCAAAAAAAGAAAAGAAAACAGAGAAGAATAATAAAAAAAAATAAAAATAAAGAATAAAATTAAAATAAAATTAAAAATTACAAATTAAAAAATTAAAAACAACTTAAGAACATATTAAGAACAGATTAAGAACAACTTAAGAACAGATTAAGAGCAAATTAAAAACAATTAAGGCAACTTAAGAAGCCAGTTATGTCGAATTAAATCGAATTAAATCCAAGTTGAATTAAAAGAGAAATTCGCTCGTTTTTCCCATTTTTTCATCCCTTCCATGCTTTCTCATTTGCCCAGTTTGTTGATTTCTCATTGCATTTGTTCTGCTTTGTCTGCAACCGGACTTTTCGATCTCCACTTTTTCCCACAAAACGGAGGATTACCTTGACGTTGGCTCTCATTTTTCTGAATTTTTTTCCAAAAGAGTTTTGTATACCAAGGTGTAACCTTGAAGAAGGACATATCCCCCCTGCCGATTTCGATTTTTCCTTCAAGCGTCCCCCTGTTGGAATAAGGGCATTGCTTTGTCATTGAAGGGATAGACAGAACCGAAGCGGCTGAAGCGACCCCTCTACACATAACAGAAGCATAAGAAGCACGCACATTTTTGGCCCCCCACCCCTTTACCACGGTGAAAACGAAAATGAAGCTTACCAAATTGTTCGTCCTTTTCGCCATTTTACCCATTGTATCCTTGCTAGGAAAAGAGCAAGTGGCTGCCGTCTTTGAAAATGATAAGCTTCAGAAGGAAGACCTCGATATCGACGGCAGAATTAAGAAACTTTTACGGAAGAAAAAATTAATAAAGATATCCCTAATTGCGGCGATGGTACTTGCTGCGGGGGGAATACTCGGTGGATTGGGCTATGGCATCGTGAGATATCGCAAAAAAGGAGAAATGGACAGCGATGATGAGCCATTTGTAGAGCTCGTTGATCCAGTTCAAGGTTCGCCAGAGGCAACCCACTCTAGAATGACGTCGACCACAGGAGATCCCCAAGTCACAGTAACTATCGAGAGGTCATACACAGAAGTACCACCCTCCCCAGCCGATCTCGAAATGGAAGATATTGATGGGGATACAGGTGAGCATTTGCGGCATTGATTCTTTGATAAGTAATACAAAACGAATGTTATGAGCTTCCTCATTATCTGAAGCGTATTGTTTACGCCGCGGGTATGTGTGTGCCTGTGTGGATAATGGGAGGTTACTATTCTTGGACCCATTGGTAAAGAAAAGAAAGGACGATGGTGATAAATAGAAGATAAACAACGCTTCACATTATCCCTACTTCAATTTTTTTTTCTTTCCTTTTTGTGAGGCTGCCAATTAGTTTGGATTACTTGTTCTTATTACTCCTTTGTACAATTACCACTATGTTTATATTTTTTTTTTTTTTAAAAAACTTCAGGACAAGGGGTGGATCCATTTGTGGATGAGACTGGCCAAGACGCAGCTGAGGAGATACCGGATGAGATAGGTGAGGAGGCAGTGGAATGACATGCACAGAGAACAAGCACACAAGAAAGGTGCAGATACATCCGCGTGGAAGAAGAAAAAAAAAAGTAAACATAAATACATTAGACTTGAGGGCAACCTTTTCCGGTTTTCCCCGGGCGAAGAAACAGCAAAGAGGCAGAAAAGAAAGAGGTGCAGTGATGGATATGGATGGGCCAAACTTGTGACTTACTCCCCCCCGCCGTGTACCATTCGACGAAGCGTCCATCGTAGAATAACCAAACGTGGAGAATAAATGGTCTAGAGAGAAAAAAAAAAATAATAAAATAAAATAACATTTCGACATGTCAGAGATATACCTTTAAGGAAGGAAAACACCTGTTTGCGTGTGCATCGCAGGACCACCTTTGGTGTCTTTTCGCGATTTTACCAATTTGAAGAGAAAGAACTGCACCAAGGAAAGAAATATGTACAGATAGATGGGCAATAGACCGACGCGGCTACATTGACACACCTGCCCTCACTGCCTGGCGCATGTTCCGCTTTGACGCACCTTGAATCCTGTGGCCTGCGGGCTGTTACTCTTACAGAGAAAACATTTTGAAGAGAAACGAAGTTTTTTTTGCATTTCGGTGAAGTGAGGCCGGCGGTTCCACACTTCCGGGGGGTTAAGCCATGTGTGCGACAAGTTAGGCGATTGCCCCGATGTGTGGACGCTTGTCCGCGTGACTGCTGTTTTGTTTCACCCCCTCCCCATTTTTGTAACATTTTTCTACATGTTTGTAACATTTTTGTGATCGTCCGTTATCCCGTCTATATGTATTTCCACAAGTACGTTCATATAGATACCATGCTCGTTTTTTTCTTTTTTTTTTTTCACCTTTTTTATTTTACGCTCGTGCGCCATGAATTAGCAGCGAACATAAAGACAGCTTTAGAGAGCGCATAAATGAAAGGTGTACCCAAAAAAGGGGAAGTACAGGGACCAAGGGGGCTCCGCTGAGGTTATCACAAAAAAAAAATATGTCGTTCAAAGTGGAGATACAAGATGATTGGTCACTGCATCTCTTCTGTTCAGGTCAAATTAAAAGGAAACCCTGATCTGTTGCATGGTATGGTTCTTCTCTCCAATGGCATGGCAGCACAAAATGAGATCAGAGGATGCGTCCATGTTTTGTGGGTAGGGGAGTACCCTATCGTGAGAAAATAGCAGCAAGGGTAATAAATCAAAATTCGTGTTGTGCCGTTTCTAACTGGTTACATCTAAACATTGAAAGTTGGCGAAGCGAGGAAAAAAGCACTCGATTTCCTCTGTTCTCAATTTGGATGAATGGGAAAAAAAAAAGGAGAGTTGCATTTTGCTATTCAATGGAAAACTAATTAAAAAAAAAAAGAAGAGAGAAAAGAAAAAAAAGAAAAAAAGTAAAGGCTTAATTCCCACGACGTTGTTGGGAAGATAAAGAGGAGAATGTTAGAGTCTCGCTTGATGTATAAGTTATATTGGCCGAGAAATTCTTCCCGTTTTGGAATAGCATCTCATGCGGAAAGCTCGCCGAGGGTCGCTAATTGTACCATGGTGGAGGACTATACCGTGGGATGAATATAACGACGAAAGGTGACTGCTGCGAAGGAATGAGAAAGGCGGAAGCGCACTCGAGAAAGATGAGCGGCTTCCTTTTTTTTTTTTTTTTTTTTCCTTCGTGGGGTGGCTGTCCTTAGAAATGCGTCACTGTGTACATGTCGATGCACGGCGAGTTGTTCGTTTTTAAATTTTAATTTGACCTTCTCACCACAAGTTCGGCATGCAGCAGTCCTGACACTTCATTATTTATTTTATTTATTTATTTTTATTTTTTTTTTTTAACGCTGGGAAATCATCCCACTAGAGGAAGAGGAACAGAGTTGAAATAAATCGCAACATAATAGAAAACGTGCTAAGAGGAAAAAAAAAGAAAAAAAAAAAAACCTAAGTGGGGAAAAAACAAAACAATCGGTGTCCCCTTAGCGAAGATTCTATGCGGACGAAGCGTCAGCCTAAGGCTTGTTCAGGTCGATCCAGTGTCCTCCTTCTTGGATGCGGAAAGCCGGGGCCTGCTCGAGGACATTTTCCACCGCAAGCGCTCACAGGGATTGCTTCCTCGTACAGATGCAACTATGCATAAGCGGGTGAAGTAGTGGTCATGGAGGCGTCGTCAGAAGGGAAATATACATAGGAACGCTCGCCATACGTGCTTACATACGTCGTTAAATACGTCATTACATACGTGCGCGGCACCGGCTGTGGACAGCCCCCCGTGGGAGACCCACTTTATGCAGCCGAGGAGAGGAACTTCTTCCCCGGAATGGCATCCGACGCGTCAGCAGATGAAGAAACAAACAGCTACCGACATAGATAAATGCGTCGTTAGGTGCCTATTGACGTGTATATTCTGCCCTCTCAGCCTGTCAGAAGCATGAAAATTCGCTTCCGCGCCAAGTGCGCGTCTGGCAGCAGGAAGGACTTGACGCCAAGTCGCCTGCTCCCCCTGTTCAACGTTATTCTATTCTTACTCTTCTATGTGTTTCTCCAGGTGGGTGAAAGTGAGGTGGGGCTTAAATATATTGCCACCCCGTCTATATGGCTTCCCTCTCTGTGCAGTCAATTATGCTTTCTTCGAGCTCGCGGGGGTATAATGGAACGCGCTTTACAAGAAAGACCCCCCTTTTTGGTTCCCCCCCCATTTTTGCAGGATGAGATACTGTTCGAGGGTGCAACCGGTGGGAAGACGCATCAAATGGTGACGCACAGAATGATGTCTCATCCAATCGGGACGTATGGATTGGTGACCCACAACATGAGAAACTTGCACGACATGCCTGGGAATATAACAAGAGGTTTCATGGACGGAGAGATGAGGCAGTGGGTAACAAATGAATATGAGTCGTCGCAGAAATTGAAAGGAAAAAATGGGCAGTCGGACGATCTATCCAATGGAGGAATGAATGGTGCAGTGTTATTGATGAGCAAATTGAGTCCAAAATATTTAAGAAAACTGGTGGGAGATGTGTATTACAACAAAATTAATCAGTTACCAAAAGATATAAGACCTAATGATCTGTTTTTGATATGGAATGACATTTATAGAATGGAGAAAAATGAGTTTTCTATTGTGGAGGAGGACCTCTGGCTTGCCTGTTGCCAGTTGGCTGAAGAGAACAGGATTTCAAGACAAAGCAAAACAAACGAATGGCTCAGAGTTTATAAAGACATATCTCATGACCTGATGGAAAAGGAACTGAACGATTTTAACGATTTGCTAATTTTTATAAGTCATGGCTCTTTTACGAAGCTCGACTTTACTCTCTTCATATATTACAAGACCATTTCGTGGCGGACGTTCAGGGAAGCCCTCTATAGGAAGTGGGTGAAAGTTCTGGTTCGCAACTTTGAGGCCTACAGAAGGTAACTGCAAAGAGGTTTCCGAGCAAAGAAATAGGAAAGGTGGCTATAGGGGGCCATCTCACGACATCATTGGGTGAATCTTTCTCTTCTGCGAGGAACCATTTCGCTAATGGGTTATTCCGCTGTTATCTCTGGTTATGTTATTTGCGGACTTGAAGAAATATTTGGAAGTATACCCGCCTGATAAGGGACCACACGCAGGGGTAGAGAAAACCCCCTCGTCCAAGTGCCCACACAAAAAAGTTAATAACGACCTTGTTTATTTTAGCAATCCCATTTGCCAACTCCCCAATTGGGGGCGTGAAGCAGCGGGAGAGAGGACAACTCGACACCCGCGAAAAGTAAATTATCCATCTTCCTTTTTTTTTTTTTCTCTTTTGTATGCGATGAGTATGAATTTGTATTTTTATTTTTATTTTTTTGTTTAACGAGATCCATTTTTGGTGCAGTTTGTCTTTGCAATGTGTCTCAAGTGGGGGAATTACCCCACCAAGTTGTTCTTTGCGTAGGACGGCGTTTCTAGAGTTTGTTCCGTTTGGAAGAACAAGTCGCACAATGCGTGTGGTTGGATAGACGTTCCTATTTCGAGGCAGAGGTGGCATGAAAGGAAGGGGGACCCTGCACCCACGCGTCTCTTTAAAAGGGATAAGAGAAGGATAGCAACAATATTGATTGCGACTCCTATGTGTTGGTTGCGAAGGTCTGGCATAGCATGGGGTAGCCTCTTCTAAGTATGATAATCTGTGTCGAATTAGGTCACCCTTTATGTGATTATTTCTTGCTTTTTCTAAAATGGCATATCATATACCTTTGCGTAGGGAGCGGAAATGCCGGCTCTCCCCTCGCGGGGTTCTGGGCAATTTTTGCAAAAAAGAAAAAAAAAAAAAAGAAATGTCCTCCTCTAAGATGGTGCTGCACAGCGTGAGGAAGTGCCAGAAGAAGGGGCAGAGATGCCCCCAATTATGCTGGGTTGGGCATGGTATATACTTTTCGGTTGCTTGT